CAAGGAACCGTCTTCCGTAACACGCGGAAGTACCCCAAAAAAAAAAACCAACAGTCCCCAATCCTTGTTTACAGTACACTGAGTACTTGTGTGCGCCAATCTTTTGTGTAAACTCTGTGTGAACAGACAGATAGACAGGCCCCAAAGTTCAGGGTCCTCTTGTTGCGGCTTGCAGGTGCCTGACAGCGATGCGATGCGAAGTTTGGAGACGCGAGAAGAGTTGGAGGTGCGAATAAGAACCAGCGAAGACCAGAAGAAGCTCACAAACAGGGCAGGGATCCGTTCCATGTTGCTGTTACTGTCACTGCGCAGCACCTCGCACCTCAACTTGAGGTGGACGAAGAAGCCAAGCCTTTCCGCTCCCGCATGCCTCGTTAGTCACCGCTGGCGCTGGGTGGAAGTCCGGGATGGATAGGGAGCTGTCCGGTCCCGCCCACCTTAGGTTAAGGTACTACAGATTTGTACTTCGTATGTAGGTTGCCCGTAGTCCCCGACGGTATTCTTCGCTGACGCTGACGATGACTTGCTGCTGCGCCTGATTGTGCTATCGAATTGTTCCCAATTGTTTCCATTCTCTCCAAGGGCTCAAACAGCCCAGCCACACCGCAGCAGGCCAAGCCCCCAAACGCCAATACCTTGTAATCCATCTTCAAGACTTACGACTCGAGAGTCGAGACGCACCTGAATGGCGCCGAGAATCGTGGCGGTGACTATGACCCATCTCCCCATGTTGTCGAAAATTGGCCATGGGATGCATGACGTCGTGGGGCAGCACACCTGCATGCTGTGTAAGTACCTCCTCATCCACCCCAACGATGCGGAGCCGAGTGCCGAGACCACACACAAGAGACACCACACAATACCTTACCTTCCCTTACTTACCTTGTACTAGGTAGTAGAGACGGACGCAACGCCCACTGAGCTTCTTCACCAAGCTGCCCAGCCGCTGTTTCCTCGACACGCCTCACACACTTCAGCCACAACCGCTTCTTCAACTTCCCTGGTTGACCACACCTCAACTCTGGGCAACACGGCGCGTCCAGTCTTGGCCGTGCCTCGCTTGCCATTTCCTTGTTCAAACCATTATCACGATTCACATAGGCAATGCACCGGACCCGCAAAGCAAGCAAGTAAGAACTACAGAGTGTAGTCATCAGGTTGCAGAAGGCGACTGGGCATGACTTGCAGAAGCTGAACATCGCAGCACACTATTCGTTGAAACGAAACGAACAAGTCATGAGCAAAAAATGACTTCCTTGGTTGACCCCACCCCAAAAACATTTGTTGCCAGCTCACAACTCAGTCATCAGCCTCGAAGCTGTGCAAAAGAGCCAAGGCCGCAGACGCGCAATCATTGTCGCCATCAGTTCTTCCTTGGGGTGCTTGGCTCCGGACGAGACCGAATCGCCTTATGGGGCAATCGACGTCTAGCGCCGCCCACTTCCTTACCTTACGTATCCGCTTCTCAAAGGCACACCTCATTCTTTCGTGAAATTCTACGGCCCTTTTTTGGGTGACTTTGTTCCCATCTATCCCCGCCATATCCACTCTCGCAAAGACATCACCAAACAATTGCTTTTCCCATTTATCATCAAATATGCCAAGGCTGAGTTCAGGCTCAGAGTCTCCAGAATGTAGCTCGGTTCGCCAAAACACGGGGAGATAGTTATGGTCCCCAATCTGTTCCCCCAACCGCGCCAAACTCTTTCGGCGCCGTAATACGACGGAAGCATGGAATCATTAGACGGGCTTCTGGAACCCGCGGCCTGCGGACACCCGCCCGGACGATCTACCTTAGTGCGACGTTCGAAAGCAAGTAGTGCCAAATGTCCAAAAGTCGGCCTGCTTGATATACGCTGCCGCGCTCGGAGGAAATCAGAACGGCTAGAATGACCCAAAATAGGGAAGTATCAAGAGAGAGGCAGAGGCAGGAATGACTCCGATCCCATACGCACCACCCAATTCTTGCGCCTACCCGGCTACGGTGCCGGGAGCCCAGGAGTTGAAGGACGCTGTAGGACGCACGGGGTGTGGGTCACCGCGCACCCGTCGGGATTCGGAGCCGGCGCCCATTCGGTGATCGTCCAGGGACCTAAACAACATGCATAATTTCTCATTTAAGGAAGCACCTCGGCATGCCCGATTGCGTACCTAGTACGGAGTACTCGTAGGGCTGCCCGCGGGCGGGATGTCACATCGCTTCGAGACATCGCCGGCCCTGTCTATTGTCAACAACTACCAATTTGGTAAAGGTCAGGTTGAGTACTCTCGAATGACTGATGAATGCTTTGTAAATTTATAAGCCCTGTAAAGTTTTTGTCGTACGCGTTTTCCATTTCTATAGGTGAAAGGAGAAGCATGGTTTTTACCACGACAATCGAAACTTTTTTCCGATTGTCGTAAGAGATCTCGTGTCGTACTCGCTAGGAGCATCGGGGCACACGGGTAGGATAGTGTAGTCAAGAGCTCGCCGATATGTATGAAGAAAAATGACGCCGATCCAGGATCAAATGCGAGGGAAAAAGTGATACTCAGGCCGACTTGGCCCCAATCAAGTGACGTTCACGCTCGACACAGGTCATTGGCTTAGCGAAACCTTGGGTACATCGTCGGTGAACTTCACCGCGTACTGTCTTAAGCTGTGCGAAGATACTTCATGGTGGAACACGGTCGAGCTCTCGTCGCCAACCTGTGAGCATGACGGTAGTAACTAAAGTACACATCAGGGCAGGCCTCTAAGCTACATCGCCAAATTTCTATCCATATGTTGGATGAAGGTCGACGCTGACCATGTGTCCGATCAAACGTCAGCCTGTCACACAATGTCAGAAGACTAGTTGCTCTGTTGATCGCGGGGGAAAGATCACACATCAAAGCCGCTCCTCAGTCGGCTGTGAGTCTCATTCGACATTGATCACTTCATATCTGCCAGAGAGCTGTCGGGGATAACCTATTGTAAAAGATTGTATTCGTCTGTTATTATCAACACAAAGCTGTTCAGGATGATTATCTCAAGCCTGTACGGAAGGAGATATAGAAATAATGTGGTAAGACATCACGTTGGATGAACCATTAGAGTGAAAATAGAATAAAAGCGGCGCAGGCTGAAATCAGACTCAGACCTTACAAAAACAAAATCATCGGGGGTCGGTGTTGTTGCAAGTGATCAGTCGTAACTACCACGCCAGGGGGCTCCTCATCCGATGGTGACAGATGAAGCAAACAAGTGACCCATAGACCACACACAGCCAGTGACTGTATTGCTCCTTCCCAATAAAGGCCTTTGGCCCTCTTCACCGCCTGGCTTCTCATCCGAAGGTTGAGCCCCTTTTCGGTCAAGATAGGGAGCGGACTAAGCCATCATCAACGTGCAATCTTCCCGGGAACATCATTCATATCACGTCCAGAACCGTACGTTCGTTCGCCAAGTCCTACACCTATACTTCATTTACGCGTCAAAACTCCTGACTGCCGCATACCCTTTATCCCTACATCATTATAGTACTTGCTTTACATCATATTACATCAGCTTGAAGCTATAGAACAGGCGTTGGCAAAGCTGGATCACACGCAAATATTCATTCAAGCCATCGCATTCTCTAATCACAAAATACAAGGGCAATCACATGTCCAGTATTCAGGTCGATAAAAACACTTTGCCCTCAAAAACGCCAAGAATAAAGCTCAAAAAGGGTATCCATCAATTTGGGACCCTTACGTGTAAGTCTGTAAGATGAAGCCCATCCCAACCAGAAACAAAAGCAACATATCATGGCACAGAACACCACCCACAAGTTGAAACATAGCTCCGTCTCGTGATATTGCGGTTCTCTTCGTCTTCGATACCGGTTTAAACTACATCGTACGACACCACATGAGACAGCACGGCGAGTAGCTAGCCATGTAAGTCTTTTGCCAGATGTAGCTAGAGGTGGGACTTCGCTACGAATGCTCTTCGACCCTGCCGTTTGGGTATTTGCACTGCCTTCACAGCAGGATGCTGTTCCACTCACCTTGAGGGTTTCTTGAATCACAGATGGGAAACGCCACAGTCCATTATCGTAGATCGGGAGTGTTCAATGAGTGTAGGCAGTGCTGGCGCACTGCACGGAACCAACTGTATGGGGGTCCCGTGGTTATGAACATGGCCATGGTCAAAGGAGACAGTGCAATACGAGGGAGATAATAAAACCGGAAATCATTGCGGCGACTTCCACTTGGATCGGGACATGTAACCCTCCTCGACAGTCCAGCTAGTAAAACGGAGGAGAGATACTCGGCATCAGAATGCATCGCTGCGAGTCAATACTCTACACCGAGACCGCAAAGAACATGAAGCAAAACCGTAGACGCATTTTTCCCTTAGCATGGTCCATCGCCATACGTTCAATATAACTCTGCGTTATAGCCTTATGCCACCATGCTCGAATGGCTTCTAGCAGGGGGAGGGTAAGTGGCAGCACTTTATGATACATAGAGCAGAGAATTTCAAGTTAGATGGAAACCGAGTAGGACCACAAGTTCAGCTGGTTAAGTAGAAAACGCGCCAACGCAAGGCTCTCCGATAGCACGACAAGGCTTGATGTTGACTGAGCATTATCGCTCTACAGTACCTGAGAGTGTCCTACGAGGTCGAGAAGAGGATCTGGGTTGTGGACATCTGTGACGATAGCTATGATGAAGTTCGAGTTACAACCTTTGATGAATCCTCGGTTCATCATGAGTGTGGCCAATAAGGTCCTCATGAAGCTCTCTCTATAAAAGTGGCGAGTAGAAAGTCTAGCAACGAAATAGGGGTAAGTTGTACAATACTCTCTCTGATCATTCAGCCATGACAGTCGAAACAACCCATCATCTTGCAAACGGAAAAAAAGCCGTAATGTAATCAATCAATCTAATAATGCCTCTGCTGTGTGGGTATCATATTAAGATGCAGTAACCGCAATGCCAAATCCCTTTCCAAACACGGTATATCTCACAAGTCGATCCTTCAAAGTTCTTCAAAGCTCGTCAAACACCCTCAACCGATCCTCTTCCTCCTCCCTTCCCCTTCTATCCTCCCACAAAGGCGACAACTTCGGCACCCCCTCGGCCCCTTCAACGCTGCGGTTCGCCCCCTTCTCAAGCCCCTTCAACGCCTTCCCAGCAGCGCCCTCGAGATCCGCCGGCCCGCCGAGGTACTGCGCGCCCACAAACAGCAGAATCAGTACCGCAAACACAACCGACGTGACGATCCACACGGCCCGCAGCCTCTTGCGCGTCTTCTCTTGCCACTCCCGGTCCGCCCTCTCCCACCCCTCGATCCGCCGCCGCACGAGGTCGACGCGACCGCTCAAGCCCTCGATCCGCGTCCGCCCGGACTCGATCCGGCCCTGGAGCGTCTTGATGCGCGACTCTTGCTCGCCAAACTGCCCAAAGGTGTCGAGCTGGCCCGCCACGTCCCGCGCCATCTCGTCGGCCTCGGAGACGACCTCGCCCGTCATCTGCCGCGAGGCCTCCGTCAGCTCGCGGATCGCCGAGATTGTGTTCTGCAGCATGCTCTTCTTTTCGAGGACAGAGTAGTACGTCTCGTCGAGTCGCCGGGTTGTCGCTGTTGAGAATCCGCTGAGCTCAACTAGCGAGTTCTTCAAGCCCCTATACGTAGAAACACCGACATGTCAGTCTCGAGCTTCTTTAAAAAAACACCATTACGGAAGAGAACGTACGCAACCCTGTTCGCCGTCCTGCCCTTCTCCTCCACCAGTGCAGCCTCGTTATTCA